CACACTTCCGTTTTGAGTGTTACGCTGAGGTCTGTCCATTTTTGCTATTTATTTTGCATTTTTGTTCTTATTTTTTTGTGACTGTGTGGCACCCAGTTCAGCTACTGATTGATTGATTGATTGATTGATTGTGTGACTGCAGTACATTGTTTATTGCCTTCATTTTATGGATCAATGGCCTTGTTAGATTGTAAAATTCATGTTAAATTGCTGTTTTAGTGGCTGTTTTTAAAAGTCTGGAACGGATTACCGTATTTTTTGCACTACAACACTCACTTTTTTCCTCCTAGAAAGTAAGGGGAAATGTCTGTGCGTGTTATGGAGGGAATGCCTACGGGTGGCATGCCTACGGATTTTCCTCCTCTAAAAACTACGTGCGTGTTATGGTCGGGTGCATGTTATAGAGTGAAAAATATGGTACAGTGGTGCCTCGCAAGACGAAAAGAATCCGTTCTGTGATTCTCTTCGTCTAGCGGTTTTTTCGTCTTGCGAAGCAACCCATTGACAGATTAGTGGATTAGCGCTATTAGCGGCTTTTAGCAGCTTATCTGCTGATCGGATCAGCTGATAAGAGGCTTAGCGGCTTAGAAAAGGGGGGGGAAAGGGAAAAAACCCGCAGGAACTCGCAAGACATTGTCGTCTTGCGAAGCAAGCCCATAGGAAATTCGTTTTGCGAAGCACCTCCAAAACAGAAAACCCTTTCGTCTAGCGGGTTTTCCGTCTTGCGAGGCATTCGTCTTGCGGGGCACCACTGTAATCCATTTTGCATTACTTTCTATGGGAAAGCGCGCCTTGGTTTTGGAAAGCTTTGGTTTTGGAATGGTCTTCCAGAACGGATTAAGTTTGAGAACCAAGGAACCACTGTACAGGAAAAAAAACAGCATCATCCACACAAGTGGGGATGTATCTGTAGGCTATGGGGAACCCCAAGGTTGGCAGAAGTACAACAGAAGATCTGTAAAAGGAGAGAGCTTCACAAAACCATTGAGAAGGAAGTGTTCTCAGTGAACACAGAATGCATCATCATCATCATTAATTATTATCATTATTTTATTATTATTATTATGCCACCCATCTGGCTGATTTGCCCCAGCCAATCCCAATCCTGGCAGCTCCCAACAAATCAATACACAGTAAGACATCAAATCCCTAAACAGGGCTGCCTTCAGGTGTCTTCTAAAAGCCGGATAGTTGTTTATTTCCTTGACATCAGATCGGAGGGTGTTCCACAGGGTGGGTGCCACTACCGAGAAGGCCCTAACTGCTGATGGGGAAACTGAAAACCACGGGGAATGGAATGGAGTATCACTAGAACTTGTGGACATCCAATGATTGTTGGAGGAGTCAGGATAAATTAAAGAAAGTACTTCTTCATGCATTGCGCACTGTAAGTGTGGAACTCACTGCTCCAGGAGGCAGTGATGGCCCCCACTTAGATGGCTTTGCTCTGCCTCTTTGGTCGGAGGCAGCGATGCTGGAAACCACAGGAAGTAAGAGGGCTCGAATCCTGCTTGCTGGTTTGCCACAGGCATGTGGGCAGCCGCTGTAGGAATAGGATTCTGGACTAAATAATAATACCTTTATTGTCATTGTACAACCTGTGTACAATGAAATTAAATGAGTCCCCTGCCCACTCAATCTCTTATCAAACAACACACCACCTCGCAAGTCAATTTTGCGATGTTATTTTTTTCGTTCAACATCCTAACAGCCCATGGATAGAAGCTATTTTTTAGCCTGTTGGCACGGCTGGTTATACTTCTATATCTCCTGCCCGAGGGTAGAAGATTATAGAGGTGATGGCCGGGGTGTGAGTCATCCCTGAGAATTTTTCTCACTCTCCTAAGGCAACGATCCCTTGCGATGTCATCCAGCGGACTCGAGGGACAGCCCATGATATCATGTGCTGTATTCACCACCCTCTGTAGAGACTTTCTGTCCGTGGCTGTCAGGCCAGCATACCACACTGTGATACAATATGAAAGGACACTTTCTATTGTGGACTGGTAGAAGGAGTTCATCAGTTGTTGTATCTACAGGACTGCCTCTCCTGGTATGCCCCGCTGAGGACCTTAAGGTCCATGAATAACCATAGTTTAGAGGTCCCAGGCCCTAAGAAAGCCAGACTATCCTCCACCAGGGCCAGGGCCTTCTCAGTGATGGCCCCGACCTGGTGGAATGCTCTGTCCCATGAGACCAGGGCCCTTCAGGATTTAACCCCCTTCTGTCGGGCCTGTAAGACAGAGCTATTCCACCTGGCCTTTAATTTGAATTCAGCCTGATCTTTTATTTCCCCTCTCTTCCCTCCCCCTCCCCTTTTATGAAGATCATCCACTCTGAGACCCCACAGCAAATTCTCCCCTGGTCTCCTTGCTGGCCCAAGTAGGACCAATTCAGCCAGCTAGCCCTGGGGATTATCTAATGCTTTCCCCCCCAAATTGATTTCTGAATTTTGAATTTTATTGTTATTCATGTTTTTATACTGTATTTTACGCTGCTTTTATAATTAAGTGTTTTAAAAGTGTTTTAAGTTTGTTGTTAGCAGCCCTGAGCCCGGTTTTTGAACCGGGAAGGGCGGGTTATAAATAAAAAATTATTATTATTATTGTTTAACATTCCTTCTCAAGACCCTGAGGAAATGGAGTCTCCTTTGGGCCTTTCTGACCACTTGAGTTATGTTGATTTTCCAGGTGAGGTCCTTACTGAGGTAAACTCCCAGGAATTTAAAGGAGCTATGAGACTGATTTAGCAGAGTTCTTATGTTCTTAAAGCAGGGTCAGTGGGGACAGCGCCAAGGGCCAGATAAAGAGATTTGGGGGCCACCGTTGCGCCCCCCCCCCCCCCGGGGCAGTCTGAAGTTTCCCATCCCTGTTCTTGGTGTTTCAGGAGTTGACAGCCTGCAAGAGAACTGCAGTACATTCAGAGGAGTTGCCGGTGGATTCGCCCCTCACAACTGCTGCCATCGCCAGGACCATCAAGGAAGAGGAAGAGGAAGCTGGCATCCCTGCAGGTAGGAGCCCCAGACCCCACTTGTTTCACTGAGGTGGGGTTTGGGGACTCCAACTCCCATCAGCCCCCAGCATCCGGGCCAGTGACCCGGGATGATGGGAGTTTGAGTCCAGCAACAATTAGGGGACGCATTGTTGGGTACAATGTGATGGTTATCCAAGCTCATTTTTCTCCTTGTTCATCCCCTGGCTCCTTGTGTGCTTTTCATTCCAGCAGGCGTTACGCTGTCGGGCGGAATCAAGGAAGAGAACCCGCAGCAGAACGGCCACGAGCCAGTGGAACTCCCCGCCACAAGACCGCCGCGCTCAGAATGCAGTGCTCCCAAGAGTCGTGAGCGGGTGGGTGCAGGCCAAGCCGCCTTTGCGACAGGAAGGCGGCAAGGAACTAATCCGGCGACGGGCGCGGGTCAGCCTGCGTGGCCCAAGGGAGGCCTTGCGAAGGCCGCCGCCCAGAAGCGGAAAGAGAAGTGCTTCCCGTGCCCCGAATGCGGAAAGACCTTCCGGCAGTTTGGGGTCCTGATCACCCACCACCGGCTGCACACGGGCGAGAAGCCCTACAGCTGCACGTACTGCGCCAAGCGCTTCAGCGATTACTCCAACCTGATCGCGCACCAGAGGACCCACACCGGGGAGAAGCCCTACCGGTGCGCCGACTGCGGGAAAAGCTTCACCCGCAGCACCACCCTCACCATTCACCAGAGGGGCCACACGCGGGAGAAGCCCTATCCCTGCCCCCAGTGCGGAAAGCGCTTCAGCCGGTCCTCGAACCTCACCATCCACCAGAGGACTCATGCAGGGGCGATGGGGAAGAACTCACGGACTTGAGATAAGGGGTGGGACGGGACGAATGCTGATCGTTGGGCTTGATCCAGTAGAGCTCGGGGGATTTTGAAAAAATCTGTAAAATGGGTCAAATGTTGAAAACAGCGCTGGTCTTCTGTGCCAGGAGATATCAGACACCCATTCATGATCCATTGCTTGTCCTTATTAAATAAGTTGGAATGAAGATGCAGGAGGCTTTTCATCTCAGGGTTGTGGGTTCAAGCCCCACGTTGGGCAAAAGATTCCTGCGTCGCAGGGGGTTGAGCTAGATGACCCCTGTGGTCCCTTCCAGCACTAAAAAAATATGATTTTATAAAGCAACTTTACCAAGAAGATTCATGATAAGGGTTTAATTTTAATTTATTTAATCATTTTTTTCAATACAAACAACAACCGCAAAAGACACATGCAACAAAAACCATAATAACACAATTTGACAATTCAGATTTGAATACTGATATACCTAGGACTACACCTTTTTAACAATATTTCCCCACCTCTCCTCCCCCTACTTCCCAGCACTGTCTGCCTTATCGCTTAAATATTCCTTCCAGATTTCTTCATATTTATCCATTGATGATAAGGGTTTTATTATTATACAGAGAATAAGGTAGAATCAAGTCATTAATTATGATGATGATGATGATGATGATGATGAAATAAATGTATATACTGCCCTATACCTGCAGGTCATCATCACCATCATTTTATTTGTATGCCACCTTTCCATAGTTAAAACAATGCTCAAGGTGTCTTAAAACATTTCAAGATTTACATAATTACCAACATAACAAAAAAAGTCATAAGCAGTAACTAAAACACATCAAAAAGTACACAACCAAATGGAAAACAATTTCCACATGAATCATAAAATCTAAAACTAAGAATACAGCATTAATATCAATCACAATTTAAAATGACATACATAAAAAATAAAAGCAATTTGAAAAAACAGAAACTCAGCCCTCTCTGCCCGGCAGCAGCAGCAGCCCCAAGCCAGGTGGAGAGAAGCAGAGCAGAGCCCTTCAGGTCTACAGTGGTACCTTGGGTTAAGAACTTAATTTGTTCCGGAGGTCCGTTCTTAACCTGAAACTGTTCTTAACCTGAAGCACCACTTTAGCCAATGGGGCCTCCTGCTGCCGCAGCGCCGCCATTGTGCAATTTCTGCTCTCATCCTAAAGCAAAGTTCTTAACCCAAGGTACTATTTCTGGGTGAGCGGAGTCTGTAACCTGAGGTACCACTGTATAGGGAAGCTGTTCATTCTCACCACACTGAAACCTCAAAGTGGGGGATGATTATACTTAGAAGTAGTTGGGTCTTCATAAATGGATTTTCAAGACAAATTTGCTACAGATTTCCCCCCTAAGCGTGCAAGTTGTCTGGAGCGGAGAGGGGACAAAAAAGCTTATCTTAAATCTTGCCACTTGAAAGCAGAAATGGATGGGGGCTGTTTCGGCTTTCAAAACACGGCCCCTGAGTTCGGAGTCTAGAGGGACTGTTTCTCCTGTCAAAAGCGAGGGGTGATAATTAGGGGGGCTGCAACAGTGGGGCAGCCTACCTGTCAATCAGGACAGAGGTGAAGACAGGAGGGGATGTTGGGGGCAGCTGGCAAACAGGACAATGGCTGCCTTATACTGTTTGAATCAACATGAATGACATGGGTCTAGTTTAGTGCAGAGGTTTTTTGCTCATCCTTGCTTTTGGGCCTGGGCAGATAAGCAAGGGGTGGGCCCCCTTTGCCCCTTTCCGTTGGCGGCTGGGGCTAAAGAAGGGCCGCAGGGGGCCACAGAAGGTCCCGATGTACGTGTAGATGTGGGTGCTCTCGGTCACATTGTAAAAGGAAACCTCCCCTTCGGAATAGTCCAGGAAAACTCCCACCCGCTTTGGCCTTGTGTTCACGGGAAGCAGCATAGGGCAGGAAATCAAGGCCTTGTACTGGTCTGCCTTCCGAAGCCACAGCCTCCAGTACCCACTTAGGGGGGAGAACATGATTCGCTGCCCCTTCCTGCTCACCGATTCCCTACAAACCCCCAGGTCCCATTCTGGGCTGTCTCCCACCTCCACCTCCCAATAGTGCCTCCCGGAGTTGAACGACTCAGAGCCCAGAACAAGGACATAAGTGTCAAATCTCTCTGTGTTGTTGTCATCCTGAGGCTGCAGCTGCCGGGATCCTCTGTATTCCACACTTTTCCTGTCTGTGGAGAGCAGAAGACTTGGGTGCGCTGTGGTTGGATCCAGAGACACGTCCACTAGAGGATGGTCAGAGAGAGAGATATAGGAACAGCGGCAGTGGACAGGGGACAGGCACAAAACCCCTAACAAGAACTGCTGGAAATGATCCTAGGGCGTCCTCTAGTCCAGGCCCAAACCTAGTGCCTCCATCTGCTGTTTAAAGGTAAAGGGACCCCTGACCATTAGGTCCAGTCGTGGCCGACTCTGGGGTTGCGGCGCTCATCTCGCTTTATTGGCCGAGGGAGCCGGCGTACAGCTTCCGGGTCATGTGGCCAGCATGACTAAGCCGCTTCTGGCGAACCAGAGCAGCGCACGGAAACGCTGTTTACCTTCCCGCTGGAGCGGTACCTATTTATCTCCTTGCACTTTGATGTGCTTTCAAACTGCTACATTGGAAGGAACTGGTACTGAGCAATGGGAGCTCACCCCGTTGCGGGGATTCGAACTGCCGACCTTCTGATCGGCAAGCCTTAGGCTCTGTGGTTTAACTCACAGCGCCACCCACATCTCCAGCGTCTGCTGTTTAGGCTTCCTCTGTATATTTATTTTGGGATGCGGGTGGCGCTGTGGTCTAAACCTTGGGCTTGCTGATCAGAAGGTTGACGGTTTGAATCCCCGCGACGGGGTGATCTCCCGTTGCTCGGTCCCTGCTCCTGCCAACCTAGCAGTTTGAAAGCACATCAAAGTGCAACTAGATAAATGGGTACCGCTCCGGCGGGAAGGTAAACGGCGTTTCCATGCGCTGCTCTGGTTCGCCAGAAGCGGCTTAGTCCTGCTGGCCACATGACCTGGAAAAACTGTCTGCGGAGAAACGTCGGCTCCCTCAGTCAGTAAAGCGAGATGAGCGCCGCAACCCCAGAGTCGTTTGCAACCGGACTTAACTGTCAGGGGTCCTTTACCTTTTATATATTTATTTATTTTATCATTACACACACAACACACACACACACACACACACACACAGTGGTACCTCGGCATGCGAACGGGTTCCGTTCCGGAGCCCCGTTCACATCCTGAATGGAACGTAAGATATGACGGTGCATCTGTGCGTGTGTGGGTTGCATTTTGCTGCTTCCGCGCATGCGCGAGCGGCAAAACCCGGAAGTAACACGCTCCGTTACTTCTGGGTTGCCGCAGAGCACAACCTGAAAGTGCTCAACCTGAAGCACATTCAACCCAAGGTATGACCGTATATCCCAACATTTTCTCCAAGGAGCTCCAGGTGGTGTATGTGGTTCTCCTTGCCCTCACCATTTTATTCTCGCATAGGTTTTAGGCGGAGAGCTGGTGAGTGGGCCAAGGCCACCCATTGAGCTTTCAGGGCCAAGCAAGGATTGGAACCCTGGTCTCCCAGGACTTAGTCTGACACTCTGGACACTACACTGGCTAACGTACTGCGCCATACCATTTATCCCTGGTCATTGGTTTTGCTGGGTATGGCTGATGGGAGTTGTAGTTCAAAGCATCTGGGTAGCACCAGGTTGGTGGGAAATCTGATTTAGCCCATCCAGTTTTGTCTACACTACGGCTGGGGAACCTGTGCCCCCTCCCCCAATGCCATTGGGTCCAAATGGCTCCAGCCAACAAGGTCAATGAGCAGGGATGATGGAAGCTGTAGTCCATCTAGAGGCCCACCAATTCCCCCATCCTTTCACTAAAGCAAATGGGAATGTATCTTGAGTGAAAATCCAAGCACTGGTGTGCGCGTACCTTTGAATTTTGTTAAGATCTGAATAATGTCAAGGCAAGGAATGTTGTAAACGTTCTTCAGTTCAGTAGGAACAACTTGCGGTTCGAACAGGGTCACGTTTTCCGCCCTGCACAAAAGGATAATCATTTCATTTACATATGCATTTCCCGTCTATGAGGCTAATGGGGAGGTGGTGCAGAGAGTGTTCTAAAGTAATTAGGAGGAACTCGTGGGCAGCGGTGGACTTTGGGCTTTCCCATTTCAGTGGCGCCCTGCGTGACACTAAACATCGCCCCCCCCTTCACTATCGACACCATTGTTGCGACAACCACACCCAGTCTGGCTATACTGGCTGTGCTACCCTAAAACCGCCTCTGCTGTGGGTTCCAGGCATCGTTGGACTACAACTCCCATAACTCCTGGTGGTTGGCCATGATGGCTGGGACTGATGGGAGCTGGAGTCCAGCAATACCTGGAGGGTGACAGGTTCACCATCCCTGGTCTAAAGTAAATTCAAAACACCACATTTCCCATTTCCTCTCTCCTTTTCCTTTCTTACTGCGTCTTTCTCTTTCTCTCCCCCCCCCGTTCCCCCGCCTTTTCATAGCTTTTTTCGTTTCTCATTTTTTAATTTACATTAGTCTCCTATATCTTAACCGTATTGCGAGAAACTTCAATAAAAACCAAAGTAAATTCAAAATGCCATATTGTTGTGTTGCAGGAATTTATGTATAGGTTGGGGGGGGTTGCCGCTCCAGCAGATATCATGCACGTGCAGCCCACTACCAAAAACAGCACAATCACTTTTGTGACTTTTGTGATTTATCCCCACAAAACACTTCGTAACAGTTTCTTCCTATCTATTCAAAGGGCCTTTGCTGCATGATACCAAATGTAACAATTCACTGATAAATGTATCTATGTACTGACTCACAGGGAAAACTTCAGAAATTCATATAGACATGTGAGCTCATCTACTCAGCAGCCCCTCTGCCTGAATGATAATTCCTGGCATCCTGATACCTGAGTGCCAGACAGGCAGCCATTCCAGAAATAACAAACCCAGATGAAGACAAAAGGGTGTGATTAACTTGGCTGGGAAACAGGGAAATGTAAATATCTCTTTTGTTACACTTGATGGGTGTTTGGTGGAGGGCAAGGAGAACCATGGGGCAGGGTCCAGGATGCTCAGATTACTGCCACCAGACCTCCCCTTCAGTGGCGTAGCGTGGGGGGTGCAGGGGGGGCCGGCCGCACCGGGCGCAACATCTGGGGTTAGGGCAAATCCATGGGTTAGGGGGCGCAAACCCACGGGTTGGGCGCAAATCCACGGGTTAGGGGGCGCAAATTACTTGCCTTGCCCCGGGTGCTGACAACCCACGCTATGCCACTGCTCCCCTTTCATGATGTAACCGTGATGTATTAGTGATGTAGTTTGGGGGGTGTGTAACATGGGGATTAGCAACTAATAAAAGTTTGGGGGCTCTTTTGTTCAGGGCTTCCATCTTGTTCCACCTTGTGCAGGTGGGAGTCCTGTCACGACAGTCTTCAATAAAGACCAAGCCTACTGGCTGCTGTTTTGCTCTGGTATTCCCGGCTGGTGTCCTTGTTTTTTGTCCAAGGGAGCCCTCAGATTTCTCCCCTAACAGTTGTTAACTGCGAAATGCAGAGAGGGGAAACCGTTCTTTTTGTGTAATCAGTGCACAATGGTCTGCCCCGTGAATTGCGTTCCTTCTGAAGAATACCAAGGGGGGAAAGAGGGATTGTATGATGATGGTGGGAGAAGAAATATTGCAGGTCTGAGGAACCTGGGACCCTCCGGATCTTGCTGAACTGCAGTTCCCATCACCCCTGATCATTGAGCACGATGGCTGCGACCGATAGGAGTCATCTGAAGGGTCACAGGTTCTCTACACCTGGTATATTTGAAGAAGAGAAGAAGAGTTTGGATTTGATATCCCACTTTATCTCTACCCAAAGGAGTCTCAAAGCGGCTAACATTCTCCTTTCCCTTCCTTCCCCACAACAAACACTCTGTGAGGTGAGTGGGGCTGAGAGACTTCAGAGAAGTGTGACTAGCCCAAGGTCACCCAGCAGCTGCATGTGGAGGAGCGGAGACGCGGACCACCACTCTTAACCACTACACCACACTGGGGCCCTTGGTGACGAAGCTGAGAAACTCATGGGAGTGGGGGAAGAGAGAGGGCAAGGAGCTGACAGGGTGACCCTAATCCCTGCAAAGGTCCCTACTGATTTCTGCATCCGGTTGCGCAATGTCAGCCCTGCCCCAAACAATTACTGGGGAGCGGGGTGGGAGCTGAGAATTAGGAAGCCATCACACTGCAAAGCAGAGGGAGACAACAGAAGTATTGCCTCTGCTCAAGGACCAGCTTGCCTTTGGCTCCCTCAAATGTCGCCTTGTAGGCTGGGATGCCATCAAGCTGCCGGAACTGTTTCCTATCCCTGCTGCTTATGGTAAGAAATGAAACTTTAAGCCCCCTCTTCCCTCCCCATCCCTTTTTCCTTGTGTGTCGTGTCTTTTAAATTGTAAGCTTGAGGGCAGAGGCTGTCCGAATGCGGATGATTGTAAGCCACTCTAGAAGCCTTTTCGGCTAAAGAGTGGAGTAAAAATAAATGCTTTAAATAAATCAGTTAGAGGAAAGGGCTCAGATTCTACACCTAGAAGCCAGACTTTGTGGCTTGATTACTGTGTGACATTTCTGCTGGATATTTCAAACCTTTTAATTGGAAAGCAAACTGACAAGCTTACCTTGCTAACACATTCTCCACATCCTGAGCAACCGGAAAATGAAGAGAGAAATAAGTGGCTATTATTTTCTTTTTGTAAAAAAAAAAAAAAAAAAGGTTGAATACTTTTAAAAGTATACCTCATCTATTTTCTTAAATCAGCCTGGCTAGTTTTGAAATAGCCTATGCACTTTATTTTCACGGTCACCTCTCTGGGCCTGGCTAAAGATGAATTCAACAAGCCCAACGGAACCAGTTTGTTATTTGTCCAATGCCATCAATGTCATTTGTTTACTTGCACGCCACTTTCCCACAAAATTGTGGTATTCAACGTTGCGTAAACCAATACAAACAAGCCAATCTAATTTAACAGCTTAAAACTAAGCAAGAGAAATGATCATGCCTAACACGGAAACAAATATGTACTATACAAAACATCTCCACTCTCCAGATGATGCATTTTGTATCTCCAATAGTTTGAATTGAGAACTCGGGGTTCGTTCACACTTTGGTTTGTCACAGGATCTGAGTGGTTTTGTGCTTATCCCACTCTTCCTAGGCACGGATCCAAGCGGTTTAGCAGTTGCCCTGCTGATTTAATCAGAAGGGGTTCTTTCTATTTAGCTCTTTAGTGCTAAATAGGAACAAATGGCAATCTGTTGAAAACCCGATTGTTGTTTGTTCCGATTCAGCGCTAAAGATCAGATTTCCCAGGAGAAAGCAGCGCTGCAAAGGGAAGTGTGGGTAACCCCCAGGTCTTCAAACATCCACTACTGCAAAATTTTCAGTTCTTGGTGTTTAGTTGTGTTTTTATATTCTGCTGGAAGCTGCCCAAAGTGGCTTGGATGGGTGGGTTATACATATATTACTACTACTACTACTACTACTATGCAAATGCTCTACCACTGAGTTTTGTGGTCCTTCCCCATAAGAGGCAGCAATTAAATTTAAAATAACATTTGTAAAAATAAAAACCAGCAGCTTTTCTTTTAGGAATTATAGGGACAGAACTACCTAAAATGTATCGAAACTTATTCATGTATGCAACTGTAGCAGGAAACCCCCCACCCCAATCATTCTGCTTGTACAAACTTCACACACACACACACTCACACACTACATACGCCACATTTCTGTTATAAATTCATAGAAAATCAACCATACATTGGATTTGCACTGTTCCATTTTTATTTTACTCCATATGACAAGAACTAACAGAAGGGGAGGGGGGTTTGACCCTGGTCAGCCAGAATCCCTTCACTGTCTCAGCACATCTGCAGGAGCCCTGCCCAGATGATCCCAGACAGAAGACAATCAAAATCACAAAGAACAGTGGATTCACCACAGACTGAAACAAAGGAGAATGATCAGATCTTCCCTCTGGGGGCAGGAAACTGCAAACTCCCCATTGTCACCTGGAAGGCACTCATGGGGAGGGGGAAAGGAGGAACCAGCTAGGTGACTGGACACTCAGGTTACCACCACAACTCCTCCCTCAACCCCTCCTTTCTGTAATGTATGCATGATGTCAACTCCTTTCTGTAATGTATGCATGATGTTTCTGGGGGTGGGCTTGAGCTAGAGGAGGGGAATTTCAAAAGTTTTTATAAGGTCTTGCAGCCCATTGTTCTGGGTCTTTCCTCTCTCCTGCGAGTGAAGGGAATACCCTGTTGCAACAGTTCAATAAAGGCCAAGCCTACAGGCTGCTGTTTTGCTCCAAGTTATCCTGGTTGGTGTCTTTGTTTTTGTCCAAGAGAGCCCTCGGATTTTTCCGGTAACAGATGGCGACCATTCTCAGGGACACTTGGTTCTCCTGCAGAGGTGAGGGGGGAGATAGAGGGGATCGGGCGCCACTGGGCAACCTTAGCCCAGAGATCCTTCTTCCTCTCCCTGCCTCCTCTTTGTGGGCGGTAATCAATCGTCACCAAAAGCCCAACCAGGGGAAGCAAAGGCGAGGTCAAGCCGGCTAAAAAGAAAAGGATCCTGGGATTTGCGGGGGACATCTTCGAACGTGAGTATGGTTTGAAGTAAATACATTGGGAGGGGGGTGGAAAAGGAACATCTCCACGACAGCCAGACTTTCCTTCTTTCATTTCCGACGTTCCCTCTCGGGGTCGGCCAGGAACGTTTTAGCTCTATCCTTTTCTCCCCCGATTCTCCCCCTCGGAGGGTGGCCAGGGAAATCGCGGAACTTTACTGTCTGGCGTTACCTCTCGGAGTCGTCTAGGAACGTCAAAACCTTTCTCTGTCTCTCCCCTCAATTTCTTACGCGGAACGTGTCCGGGGAAATTGTGGTACTTTTACTGTTTTCCGGCATTACCTCTCGGAGTCGTCCGGGTATGTCTTAATCTCTCTATCCCTTTTCTCCCCCGTTTTCCGTCTTGGAATTGAGTCCGGGAAAGCGTGGCTCTTTACTGTTTTTCTCTGACATCCCTCTCTCGGAGTCGTCCAGAGGAGTCTTTCAAGTATTCTCTTACTCTCCACCTACCCTAACTATGCAAATGAAGCTTCCCCTCCTGCCTGGCGACCTTTGTTAGGGATGACCTGGGTATGTGAGAACGCAAGGTCGTTTGCTCCCCTTTCAAAACTTTGTTTTCTTGGACCCCCAATCTGGCACTGCACAGCGCAGGCGTCCAGTAGGGAGCCCAAACTTAGTCTCAAAGGCTAGGCAGGAGGCTGTTGTGGAAGGTAGAGGGGAGGTTCACAATTGGGGCCCCACACTAGGGTTAGTCTTGAAACAGTACTGTGGTTTAGATTTCCGGGCAGAGACCCGTGGTTTAGGTTTCCGGGCAGAGACCCGTGGTTTAGGTTTCCGGGCAGAGACCCGTGGTTTAGGTTTCCGGGCAGAGACCCGTGGTTTAGGTTTCCGGGCAGAGACCCGTGGTTTAGGTTTCCGGGCAGAGACCCGTGGTTTAGGTTTCCGGGCAGAGACCCGTGGTTTAGGTTTCCGTTCAGGCTTGAGGTTTTTAGCAAATAGCTCGTGGTTAAGAAACAAGTAGGGATTGCGCTAAGTCAAGGATATTCCAAATACTGAAAGAATCTTTCTTCTACCCCTTTCTTTCCCATTGCCTTTCCTCCCTTGTGTGTGTGTTTCCACTCTTTCTGTCTTTAGCGTACTTCGTTAACGAAAAAAAAAAAAGGCCCAATAATAACATATGAGAGAATGGGAGCTCACTAAAACACCCTAGCTGGACTCCTCCTGGCAACAAAGCTTCCATGAAGCCTTTTTGCCCCAGAGAGGATTCTAATATGCCCCCCAGCTTGTCATCTCCAATTAGAGAAAAAATAGAAATAAAATAAAGGGGCAAAAATGGTCAAGTTTGTGTTGTTAAACTGTAGCCTAGAGCTGGAACATGAAACTGTAAACTTAATGGTGCACAGAAGGCAGTAGATATAATAACAGCCCATGTTCTTAAATGCACATAGTTTTAAATTGCAAGCTTGCTTCAAAAAATCTTAAATCTAAGGAAGCCATGTTGCGCCTTATCAATCTTAAAACAAAACAAAATGGAGAATGGAGTGTGCAAATGTTTGTTATTTGAGAGAGGCTCTAAAAGAGAGTTTCCCTCCCAAGTGGTGAAATCCTGTATACGTGCTACTTGTGTTCTGAAAGGGGGATTACCCCACCTCTTTCTTCTAGTTTTAAGTGAGGAGGGTGATTTTAAGTCTAATGGTAAATGATGTTTGTTGTAACTTTTGAGTTTGCTCCAGTCTATTTTGGAAGGAGAAGTTAACCTAATGTTTCTGCTGCAAAAGCCTAGTTGAGCACAACTGCTCTCTCAAGCTAAAATGCAGTGTATGTATTTCATTAAGCGTATGCCTATAAAAGTATGGTGTTCATTCTAAGAAAAAAATATTTGAGTCCAGTTTTAACTTTGATTTGGTTGGACAGAAGAGTTATTGTAAGGCTCCTGATATCAGTCTCTATAAGACTTCATGGCCTCTTTTGTTAGAAAATGCCCTCCCCCTTGTTTCACTCTGCCTCTTTCAGTTGTTTTCCCCCTTCTTCTGTGCCAGGTAAATTTACTCCCGAGTAAGCTTCCTTTAGAGGAAACTGCAAAGAGGAAGGGGGGGCAACACTTGTGTATTTCCTTTAAAAAAATCAAATCTAGGACTGCTTTAACGGTGCCTTATAAGAGATCCTCTCCCTATCTTACGAAAACTGTTCACTTCAATCTTCCTTAAATATCATTTCAAACTCACTCAAACTATCTTAAAATCTGCAAAAAGGGTTCTGTGTAAAGTTATGTACTTTTATTTTCCTCTTCTTTACTACATGATATGAGCATAGATGTTTCCTTACCCAGTTGTAAATCTGTACTTAAATGTGTATGTCTCTTTGATAGTACAAATCCTGCTGTGAAATCTTGCTGTGAACTCTATATTTTGGAGGGTTGGACTAGATGACCCCAAGGTCTCTTTCAACTCTCCCAATTTGTGGCTGTGTGGAAGGACATGTGTCTGCAAGCATTGGAGGGTACTTCTTAAATTCTGGTGACGTGATGGAGTTGAAATTCAGCCTAGCTTTGCTTTTTAGTTTTAAAAGGTGCGAGATGAAGCCATGATGTTTTGAAGCACAACTGGTAACATCAAGCATTTGGGTGATTACAGTGTTTATCATTTTGTCTACTATTTAAAAATCAGACTTCAAAGTCAACTCAAAGTTTCAGCACATACGAATACATAGGCGCCTTGACCATTCCTGTAAATAAAGGGCAGAAAATAATAATATTAATAATAAAATTTGTCTGCAAATGGTAAGGCTAAAATGACTGAGAATGTTAAAAAATCCTATGAATTCTAACTCTGGCCATTTTTACTCATAAATAAGAGAGCGGTTGATTGTTCCGCGAATGGCCAGAGGGATATTAGCCCTTTCCTGTACATAAAGGAAGCAGTCTCGTTTGCTTGGGCTGAAATTGCTAGTTCTGGTGAATACTTAAATTGCTGATTTTCTCTTTTTTGTTTAAAATCAAACCCTGTTTTCAAAATCTACTCCTTACCCTTCCCTTCCCTTATTCAAATGGTAATTTAGCCAAAGGATGCAACATTTTCAATAGTATAAAAGGTTTGCTGAGACATGAACTCTGCACATGCACAGAGGCCAGATTAGCTAAAGAAGAGGGAGAGAGGAAGGGGGAACTGTAAGGGGGAGAGGAGGTTTCCTTTTCTTCAAGGGTGCAATGACAGTGATGCTGAATATAAATGAGCAAAACTAGCCCATCAAAAGTCAAGAGCTTTCCAGGTTCCAAATCTTAACATGCCAAAATTCTTTTCACAGGTAAATATCAAAGCATTCCCCCCCCTCAATGGGATTTAAATCACAGACTTTGTTTGTGTGCATTTTAGGAACAGCATTTCCTGACAAGCTTCTCACATGAAAAAATTTTCCCTTTTAACAGGATATGTGAACCCCGATAACAAAGTGTTTGTCCCTTTTTCCTCCCACAGCAACTTTCTTGCTGTTCTGTGAAACACGTCTGAATCCCTGCTATATTAGTGACTTCCATCTCTTTGTGGCTTTGACACTTTTTTTAAAGTTACAAATAAACTGTTTTCATTTATTTAATCCGTTTCTCCATGATGTCTATAAAGTTAATCGAAGCACAACCAAACATTGTTTGTGGAATGGTACTTGTTTACCTTTGGCCTGAGCATCTCTTATTAATTCTGTCATTTTGGCTAGTGCAAGGTACTTGCACAATTTTAAATTGCCATTCATTTTTCTTGGTATTAAGTCATTTTCCAGTATTTTCCTATTAACATTTTAGCCGATGTTGTCACATCAAGAAACACTCTTTTATTTTCATTGTTACTTCAGAGTTCTTAAAATTGTGTGTCTTAGCATTATTTATTTTTGGTTCCTCATAGGTCATTTTGTGTCTGTGTGTTTTACTTTGGGGACATGTTCATCACATGTTGAAAGTCAGTTTCATGAAGTTCTTTTATCAGATAGCACATGGTGAATTTAAAGTTTTTCCCCCATGGTTTTCCCATTTTTTCAGTCTAGTAGTAATCTGCGTGGTTTTGATAATATATTTAATAATAATTCTTTTCTAAATCTGATGTCTTTGTGTCAAGTTTGTTTTCATCTGACTGGTAACCTAATTTTTTGCTTTCTTTTGTATTTTTTAACCTTTGTATTTTTTACAGTTTTCTCTTTCTATACATGTGGAGTAATTTTTATTTTATAATATGAAAAGAATAACAACAACAAAAAACCAAGTGAAGGAAAGCAAACAAACTTAGCAGATAATAACAGTAATTATGTGGAAATGTGATAATAATGTTGAAATGAATAAAATGCTTAATGTGCTAAGATTGTTATTATTTGCAGCTTCCCATGGAAACTGGAGGACATCCTTTTTGCCTTTGCCTCTTCCTTGTCTAACTGTTTTTAAGTCCCCGAAACCCTGCCCCCTTACAGGATATCACTTCTACAGATGTGCAATGATGAAAAGCAGCAACAACCCCTCAACTTAGCCATCACAAGACCTGCAACACCAGAGTTTTCAAGTGCCCACAGCTATCTCTTTCAAAGGATATAGACTGCCAGGGGAGTGGGCCTGACAAAGGGGGGTGGAGTTGACTTGCAAGGACATCTTTTCACTTGAACCTCAAGCCTCTGCACTCCAGAATTCAAAAGATACATGCGTAAAAGATCACAATTGTGTCAAGATATGCAACTGATATTTAATTAGTTTGTTTTGTATTAACTGTTATTATGTAGGAATGTTGAAATGTGTCTGACAGTGTGTTATTTCCACAAGGGGGGGTATTTTTGTGTGTAATTTTTATGTTTAATGTCTTATTGCTTGCACACCAATTCTCATGCATTTTATACTTTCTGATAGCTCACACTATTGTGTAGTCCAATGTTTAGATAACCACATTTCATTGTCCCACTTGGCACTCTGCCAACTTTCCCTATCCATTTTAAAATGTGCTAAAACTTGCTTTACCAAGGAGAAGCTTATAAGATACATGAAGGTGCACATGCTTTGGTTTAGCAGGAATGATCCCTTATAGAGTTAAATTGACTTATTTGGACAAAGTGCCCTTTTAAGAACGGTTTTCCTTTAACAGATTGGTTTGAGGACTTGAGAACCATGGGCACATAAATTCAAATTGGACTCAGTTTGAATTGGGCAAGTGTATCCAGGCTGTAATTAGCTTTTTGGTCCTTAAAGTGCAAGTGAGCAACTTCCCAGGATGCAAGACCAGAGCCTGTAATAATAATAAGAAATCCCATGGATTTTGGTCAAGGCAAAGGCATTTCTCTCAGGACGTGCCCGAAACCTGTGCCAGCTGTGGTGGGTGCCAGGCAACATGAAAGCCCTAAGTGGATTCAGCAGGGATTGCCACTACTGCGACACCATGCCGATGTGAGACCACAGAAGAGCTACCTTGACACCTGAGAACACACAAATGGGGGGGGGGAAGCAAACTGCACTTTTCAGTCATTAGTGGACCTTCCTGCCTAAATGTAAAGCATAGATCACTATTGAGAAAATATTTCTTCCAAGGTGCTAGAATACCACAAGTAACTGAGCAACAAAATATTAATTTACGTGATATCCTATGTCTAACTATGTGCACTGTTACACCATTATATTTCCATGCAAATATCCTTAAAGTAGCATGATATCCAAGTCCCTTTCAGGTTCACATGGACACACACATCTGGGACGGAGAATACCAGGTTATTATTTACCACCTTAAATTGTGCGGAGAAAAGGATTGCAAAGTAGCCACCTTTGCAATCTTATCTCCGAAGGGGGGAACTGTAGCAGGAAACCCCCCACCCCAATCATTCTGCTTGTACAAACTTCACACACACACACACTCACACACTACATACGCCACATTTCTGTTATAAATTCATAGAAAATCAACCATACATTGGATTTGCACTGTTCCATTTTTATTTTACTCCATATGACAAGAACTAACAGAAGGGGAGGGGGGTTTGACCCTGGTCAGCCAGAATCCCTTCACTGTCTCAGCACATCTGCAGGAGCCCTGCCCAGATGATCCCAGACAGAAGACAATCAAAATCACAAAGAACAGTGGATTCACCACAGACTGAAACAAAGGAGAATGATCAGATCTTCCCTCTGGGGGCAGGAAACTGCAAACTCCCCATTGTCACCTGGAAGGCACTCATGGGGAGGGGGAAAGGAGGAACCAGCTAGGTGACTGGACACTCAGGTTACCACCACAACTCCTCCCTCAACCCCTCCTTTCTGTAATGTATGCATGATGTCAACTCCTTTCTGTAATGTATGCATGATGTTTCTGGGGGTGGGCTTGAGCTAGAGGAGGGGAATTTCAAAAGTTTTTATAAGGTCTTGCAGCCCATTGTTCTGGGTCTTTCCTCTCTCCTGCGAGTGAAGGGAATACCCTGTTGCAACAGTTCAATAAAGGCCAAGCCTACAGGCTGCTGTTTTGCTCCAAGTTATCCTGGTTGGTGTCTTTGTTTTTGTCCAAGAGAGCCCTCGGATTTTTCCGGTAACACTACTACAGTGGCAAGAATGTTACTTGCCCCAAAATGGAAAGAAGCAGAAGTCCCAGTAAAGGAAGAATGAATACAAAAGCTTATGGAATACAGTGGACACTCAGGTTGCAAACGTGATCCATGCGGGATGCACGCTCGCAACCCGCAGCGGCGTGTCTGCGCACACGCGGGTTGCAATTTGGCACTTCTGCACATGCACAAAGCGCGATTTAGCACTTCTGCGCATGCGCGACTGCTGAAACACAGAAGTAACCCATTCCAGTACTTTCGGGTTTCAGTGCGTCTGTAACCCAAAAAAACGGAACCTGAAGCATCTGTAACCTGAGGTATGACTGTATACAGAAATGGAGAAACTTACCGGATAATAAGAAATCAAGATAACATTTTTTTAAAAAATTAAAAAATGGAAATGGTTTGTTGAATATTTACAGATAAATTATAAAAAGATAAAAATATTGGAAGGATTATTGTAGCAACCAGCAGTTTTAGAAGAGTATATATATTTTTTAAAGAAGATGAATAAATGAGCAAATTAAGTTAATTTGGATATGCAGAAAATATTAAAAACAAATTTAAGGAATTGCAGAATGAGGGGGAAGGAAGTCAACTTTTGAAATGTCAAAATGAGTGTAAAATTAGTGAAATGTATAAACTTGAAAAGTTGTGTGTGTGTGTGTGTGACATACATTTCAAACTGAAAAAAGAGGCAACAATTAAAAGTTTGTTGAACTCACACAAGCAGGAAACCCAACATTTACTCACAAACCCTTTTGGTTTCAGTGGGGCTGCCTCCCAGATACCCTGCATAGCTCAACTGGTAGATCATGAGACTCTCAATCTCAGGGTCCTGGGTTTGAGCCCCACATTGGGCAAAAGAGTCCTTCAATACAGGGGGTTGGGCTAGATGACTGATTCTATGCCCCGACTCACCTTCAAAAGTTCAGCAGGCGCCTTCTGGCTCTTCGACTTGATCTCCTTAACCAGCTTAATCAGCGAGGAGTTTTGCTTTGAGAGTTGAGTTAAATTCCTATCCAGCCTCTTCAGGGTCTGCCTCTCCTCTGCCTTCAGCCTCTGCAAGAGTTCCTCCTCTTCCTCAACCAGGAAGTTGTACAGCTTTGCAAACTCGCTCTCCACCCGCTCCTTCTGACTGTGCACCTTGTCCTTCATCAGCAAAGGAAAGATGAAGAGAGAGAGATTCAGCAGCGCTTCCAACTCTTGGCTCCAGGGTTAAGAACGTCAGAATAGTTAAGAAGAAGAAGAAGTCCCAGCAAAAGAAGAATGGATACAAAAACTTACGGAATATGCAGAAATGGCAAAACTTACCGGGAAAATGAAAAAAAGCAAGGATCCCCATACCTACGGTACCGCCTCTCCCGGTATGCCCCACGGAGGATCTTAAGGTCCATAAATAGCAACACCCTAGTGGTCCCGGGCCCTAAGGAAGTCAGATTAGCCTCAACCAGAGCCAGGGCCTTTTCTACACTGGCTCCGGCCTGGTGGGACGCTCTGCCTCATGAGACCAGGGCCCTGCAGGATCTGATTTCTTTCCGCAGGGCCTGTAAGACAGAGTTGCTCCGCCTGGCCTTTGACTTGGAGTCAATTTGATTCCCTCCCCCCCCCCTCTTTTTTCCTTTCTCCTCCTGTGATGAACTCCCGCTTGGGGACTTCCCTGGCTTTTTTCTGGCCCATGTAGGACCAGCCTTGGTGAAGACTTGACGTTTTCATCCCCCAAAAAGTTTTTGAGTTTCTGCTGAAATTCGGCTGCATTTTAATGTTGTTTTAATGTTGTATTTTAATCTTGTTTTTTCAGTTGTATTTCAATCAATTGCTTTATACCTGGTGTTAGCTGCCCTGAGCCTGGTCTTGGCTGGGGAGGGCGGGGTATAAATAAAATTTATTATTATTTATTATTATTATAACAATTTTTTAATAAAAGAATGGAAATAGTTTCTGGAATATTTACAAACTATAAACAGATAAGAACATTGGCAGTATCATTGTTATAACCTGCAGTTTTATAAGAGTATATATTTAAAGTAGATGAATAAATGAGCAAATTAAGTTAATTTGGATATGCAGAAGATATTAAGAATAAATTTAAGGAACCGCAGAAAGAGGCAGAAGGAAGTCAAGTTTTGAAATGTTAGAATGATTGTAAAATTATTGAAATGTGCAAAACTGAAAATCATAAATATTATATGCATAAGGAGAGACTGCTGGATCAGGCCAGCAGCCCACCTAGGCCAGCATCCTGCTCTCATAGTGGGGAACCAGATGCCTGAGGGAAACTTGTATACAGGACCTGAGTACAAGAGCCTCCTAAGCTTTCCAGCAACTGGTATCCTAGAGGTAGAGCATAGCCATAATAGCCCCTGATAGGATTGTGATGGCCAGTTGCAAAGGAGAACTGCCTGGGCTGTGTGGGTTCTTCTGCATCCACTAGTCAGCCCTATCAGCCTCTTAATGGGCAGGGATGCAAGTGGCGCTGTAGTCTAAACCACTGAGCCTCTGAATCCCCGCGACGGGGTGAGCTTCCATTGCTCTGCCCCACTTCCTGCCAACCTAGCAGTTCGAAAGCACACCAGTGCAAGTAGATAAATAGGTACCGCTCCGGCGGGAGGGTAGACAGCGTTTCCATGTGCTGCTCTGGCTTCCATCACAGTGTTCTGTTGTGCCAGAAGCAGTTTAGTCCTGCTGGCCACATGACCCAGAAAGCTGTCTGTGGACAAACACCCGCTCCCTCGGCCTGAAAAGCAAGATGAGCACCCAACCCCATAGTCGCCTTTGACTGGACTTAACCGTCCAGGGGGGACCTTTACTTTTTTTCAGCTATGGACAGGGCTGCCAACACTGCTTTCCCTGAAGCAATTGTCTCATTCTCTCTAATGCAGTGCCAAATTAAACCCGGTGGAGGCCCCTAGGCAGTCGAAATCTCGGGGGGCCCGTCGCAAATTATCTGCTAACTTTTTTATTTTATTTTACCCATTATATTACGCAATATTATTTTGATCCACTGTTGTGGGGCCCCTAGGCCGGTGTCTGCTTTGTCTATTTGGTAATCTGGCATTGCTCTAACAGCAGGGCCATCCCTACCTGCTGTCTCCAAAGGGGCTGTTTTCAGAAAAGCCCTCAGGGAACCGGTGTGTGCCTGTACCCCGTGGTGGCTGATGCTCATTGAGGCTGGCAGGGAGCCCAAAAGTCTGTCCCACCAGAACCAAGGACAGAGCCGACTCTTTTTTGTGTTGTTCCCACCCTCCTCTTCCTGAGGAGTTCTGCAAAGATTAATACGGAGACTGAGGAGGAGGAGGGTTTCAGGCAGCGCCACCTGCGCCCTACGGCAGGAGGAAATCTTTGGAGGCTTGTAAACTTGTAAACTTAAAAAGCAGAGACATCACCTTGCCAACAAAGGTCCGTATAGTTAAAGCTATGGTTTTCCCAGTAGTGATGTATGGAAGTGAGAGCTGGACCATCAAGAAGGCTGATCGCCGAAGAATTGATGCTTTTGAATTCTGGTGCTGGAGGAGACTCTTGAGAGTCCCATGGACTGCAAGAAGATCAAACCTATCCATTCTGAAGGAAATCAGCCCTGAGTGCTCACTGGAAGGACAGATCCTGAAGCTGAGGCTCCAATACTTTGGCCACCTCATGAGAAGAGAAGACTCCCTGGAAAAGACCCTGATGCTGGGAAGATGGAGGGCACAAGGAGAAGGGGATGACAGAGGACAAGATGGTGGGACAGTGTTCTCGAAGCTACGAGCATGAGTTTGACCAAACTGCGGGAGGCAGTGGAAGACAGGAGTGCCTGGCGTGCTCTGGTCCACGGGGTCGCAAAGAGTCGGACACGACTAAATGACTAAACAACAACACAAACTTGGCACCTGCCTTCCACGCAGCTGTTTTCTTCCCTTCCTTGTATTTCTGCTCCAAAGACTCTTCCAGTTGTTGAGTGAGCAAAGATACGGCGTGCTGCAGCTTCCCCTGGCAGGAAAATGGGAAGAGAATTACAAGCAAATCAGGTTTGTTTATTCTGCCTTGGTTTCCCCCAAGCCAATTCTATTCAGTCTTTTCAGCCCAGTTCCCCACTTCCAGAGAACCCTGGCAGCTTAATTCGTAGCTCAGCAAAGGCTGTGTACGCACCATACATTTAAAGCACACACACCCCTACACAAAAACCATGGGAACTGTATTTTGCCCCATAGAGCTACAGTTCCCAGCACCCTGAACACACCAGGGTTCTTTGGGGGAACCAATGCACCTTAAATGTTTGGTGTACGCAGCCTCAGTTGGTACCAACTACTCAGCCCATTGGTATGGCATTGGCAAAGTGACTTGCAGATTTCCACCCATCAAGCTGAGCAACTGAACTGCTCCAGAGCTACTTTGTGTGACCTAGGTGACAAACTCAAATGTACGCACCTGAGAGTCAGTCCCATTGAACTCAATGGGGCTGGCTTTGTGTGTGTGTATACACAGTGGTATCTCAGGTTAAGTACTTAATTCGTTCCAGAGGTCCGTTCTTAACCTGAAACTGTTCTTAACCTGAAGCACCACTTTAGCTAATGGGGCCTCCCACTGCTACCACGCCGCCGGAGCACGATTTCTGGTCTCATCTTGAAGCAAAGTTATTAACCTGAGGTAATATTTCTGGGTTAGCAGAGTCTGTAACCTGAAGCGTATGTAACCTGAAGCGTATATAACCTGAGGTACCACTGTGTGTGTGTGTGTGTATTTTTATATATGATAACACTGTTATTTTTAACACCACAACATACCACGCTTTCCCCCCAAATGCACCTTATAACACTGACGAATACATTAAGGGTGGCCTGAGCTACTGGCATTCTCCAGAACTGAATTTAATAACCTCACTCACTATTCAGTGAGTCAAACCATTGGTCAGCACTGCCTACACCAACTGGCAGTAGCTCTCCAGGCTTGCAGACAGGGCTATCTGCCAGCCCTACCTGGAGACGGCCTGTATTAAACCTGGAACCAAGCAGATGTTCTGCCACGGAGCTACACTCCTTCCCCTCAAGGTCTGTTTCAGAGGCTTTTTCCCCAGCTGCCAACGGGCGAGGCACTATTAGGCAGGTGTTCAACCAGAGACGGGGCCTTTCCTGTGGTGGCACCCTGCTCTCGGAACACCGCCTCCGGCACAGCCGAAAGGAAAACGCAGCTTTATTCCCTAACTTCTATGAATGTCTTAGGGGTTTTCTCATTTTAGTTGGATGTTCCATTCGCTTTTAATCCTGCGTTTGCTGCCTCAGATCTTTACAACTACAGAAGGGCAGGCTGGGAAGGGAAGGGACGCAATGGGACTGTAGGAAGGAAGGGGGGAAACCCCACCTGGTATTCCTGGGCAGCATCTTCAACAGGCACCATGGAGTGAGAGACATGAACTTCGGAGGCCTTGCAACTCTCGCATAGGAGAGCCTTGTCCTTCGTGCAGAACCATGTCAGGTCTTCTTGGTGCTCCTCACATAGACTCTGACATTCCTCTTCTTCTCCAGTTCCTCTCTCCTGCTCTCCTTTCTCCTCCCCGTCTCCTCCTTTCTCCTCCCCATCCTTCGGGGAAGGCCCACTGGCTGCGGCCTCCCTCTTCATGCGAGAAAAACAGAAACGGCATAATTTCTGCCCTGCGACGACCACGGCCGTTTTGTAGGGCCCCTGGCATAGGGCACAGACAGGCCTCCGGGGTTTGGGCTTGAAGGCCGGCTTCGAAGCAGGAGCGTCAGCCATCTCTCCCCTCCAAGAAGCGCAGGTTGCTTAGGTTTCGTTTCCCTTGCTCGAGGAATCCCTTCAGAACTGAAAGCGCAGCTGCTGGGCTCTGTGCCAGGGCAAAGTAGTGCCATGCGGCAGAAAGGCACTGCTAGGGAAGCGTGCCAAGAGTGGACCCAAGTCCACTGTGCAAAGTTCAGCACAGAGGCTTTTGCTCAGAGTGGCATTTGACGCCTTTACAGGCACGCAGAATATAACAGAATATAACAGGGTTATTATCAGGGCTTTTTTTCAGCCGGAACTTGTTGGAGCCAGAGGTGTAGGAAGGTGGGTGCCAGGGGGGTGGGTGGGTTCAGTCCGCCCCGGATGTCATCCCTGAGGGGGTGACAAAATGGCGCACCATGGGGGCGGGGCCTGGCCTGCAGCGCGCCCGAGTCTCACGTCTCTCCTGGGAGTGACGCAGTGACTTGGGGTCCCACACTGCCCAAAATGTCAGTGTGGGGCTTGCGTCCACCAGGTGGACTCCATGGGCAGCTTGTAGCGATGCCCCTGTGCGTGGATCTCTGCCAGTCCAGGTGCCAGAGCAGCTAGCTATGCCCCTGGCTGGAGCTCAGCTCTGGCATCTCTCAGGTAGGCACTGTTGCCATTCTAGAAAAACAGCAGTGGTTATTACCACTACTTATAAAATTTGTATACTACCTTCCATCAACAGATCATATTCTGAGGCCCTCCTTCGTGTGCCTCCTCCTTGAGAGGAGAGCTTACGTATGGTCTTCGTTAAGCATCTATTGAGCAATACCTCAAGGACCGCCTCTTTCCATATGAATCTACCCGGACCCTGAGATCATCTTCTGAGGCTCTCCTTTGTGTGCCTCTTCCTTGAGAGGTCCGGAGGGTGGCAAGACGAGAACAGGGCCTTCTCTGCAGTGGCTCCCCGCCTGTGAAATGCTCTCCCCAGGGAAGTTCGCCTGGCGCCTTCACTACACACCTTTAGGTGCCAGTCAAACACGTTCCTTTTTAACCAGGCCTTTGGTTGATCTGTCTGACATCCAATACCCTTTTAAAATGTGGCTCTTTTCTGGGGGGATGTTATTGGGTTGACCATTAGGCCCAGTCGCAGACGACTCTGGGGTTGTGGTGCTCATCTCGCTTTACTGGCCAAGGGAGCTGGCGTACAGCTTCAGGTCATGTGGCCAGCATGACTAAGCCACTTCTGGCGAACCAGAGCAGCGCACGGAAACACTTTTTACCTTCCCGCTGGAGCGGTACCTATTTATGTACTTGCACAGAATCCTTTCACAGAGTCTAAGACAATTTCAACCACTACTATTCTATAAGATCCGCTATCCTGTAATATTACATATGAGCCTGTTCTACTGATGAAGCCTAGGATGGCGAAACAAGGCTAATATTCCAGAAATCCTTTTCTTAAGACTCTGTGAAAGGATTCTGTGGAACTGTAACAACCCTTCCTGTGGATTATTGGACTCTACGAACAGACAGGTGGAATAGACACTTATACACATATGGATCTTATGCATGACCTGACTAGAGAATGAGCTGATCTACTGCTTTTTTCGTTGAACTTTATGAAACTTCTGATAAAATCTACAATTTGATACAATGAATAGTATACCTTATTTATTCAAAAGTACAGCAGATTACGTCTTGTGTGTTTATTGAGTAAGTTTCACGTAACCATACGTTTGTTGTTCTCCTAGAATAAATACGCAGAGGAACTTGACAGATAAAGAATGGATAAGGTGAACACAAAGGCATCTCCATGGTCAGAGAAGGTAGAGCTTCTGAATATTAATTTCTGGAAACCCCAGGAGGGGAGAGGGGTCTTGGGATCAGGTCCTGCCTGGCGGTTTCCCAAAGGCATCTGGGAGGCAACAGTGAGAACAGGATGCTGGCCTAAATGGGCCATTGGCCTGATCCAGTCTGCTCTTCTTGTGTTCTTAGAATACTGAAACATTACTGTGTACATTCATGAACACAACTAAGAACGTTTTTCTTAGTCCCAAGGAATTCCAGGTACGCGGCTGCTGGTGTAATAATATATTGTGTTGTCATGTCGAAATCTCAGCTTCCATCTCAGAGATGGAAAGGAGACAAAGTCTCTACCAGATCAAGTTGATGGATTACGCCGAAATGGCTAAAATGACTGGAAGAATCAGAGATCAGGAGGACCAAAATTTTAATAAGGAATGGGGGAAATTCATAACTTATCTTAAAAACGTTAAAATCGTTTGTAGGATTGGAATATCACTTGTAGTTTAATGGTGAATTTTGGACACAATGGAGAGGTAAAAGATTTTGAATTATCATAGAGGTGCAGGAGGAAATGATTAACAATAGGACCCACAAAGGAGAGGTGGGAAATCTAAGAAATTCCTTGGAATCGAGTTTTTGTGTTGCAAGTTGGACATGTGACTGTAAACTTGTAATTCGAAAAACCAAATATGCATATATTTTTAAAAAGAAGTCTGAGTTTATCTTCCTGTGTGCTTCATCCGCAAATGTTGCATTTGTACAGATCAAATCCTTCCTCAAGCATTCAGCGGTAGAAGCGACCTAAGTCGATGACAGCCTACTGCGTATTCCACATTCTGCAACGGCAACATCCGCTCACAGCCATCTCTTGGCAGCTGGGATAGCTGAGTTGTTAAGAGCATGAGACTCTTAATCACAGGGTCGCGGGTTCGAGTCCTGCATTGGGCCAAAAAAAAAATCCTGCACTGCAGGAAGTTGGACTAGATAACCAGGGGGTGGTCCCTTCCCATTATGTAATTCTAGGATTCCAGGATATGATCAGTTCTCATTTTCTGCTTCGCTGAGAAATCCTGACCAAGGCTACGCCATTCTCCCATGGGAAAGTGCTGGTTCAGTGACCTACCCTCTGCTTTACACAGCAAGGACAAGGCACTCACAGCCCAGCCATCGGACTGATGGAAGCTGGGAGCACAACATCTGCAAGGCCACAGCTTCTCTGCACTTGGCTGCAGACCAGGTGTGGGGAACTGCTGGCCTTCCCAGTTGTGGCTGAACCACAGCTCCCATCATCCCTGGCCATTGGCCGTGCTTGCCGAGGCTGATGGGAGTTGTAGTTTGACAACATCCGGAGGGCCCGCCGTCCCCCATAACGTGATAGATGCACCAACGATCTCAACATACAGGAGGAACAAGAGCGACAACACCTCACAGGAAGGCAGTACTGTGCAATGTTGCAATTTGCACACATGTGCCGGGCTTTCCCCCTGCCTGTGCCAATTCCGATAGGAAAAAGAAACCTGGAAGTTTTTCCTTCAAGTTTGTATCCAAAGCTAGCAGGTACAGTGGTACCTCGATTTTCAAGTGTCTCGGAAGCCAAACGTTTCAGTTTTCAAAACACTGAAAACCCGAAAGTACCGTATTTTTCGCTCTATAAGACGCACCAGACCACAAGACGCACCTAGTTTTTGGAGGAGGAAAACAAGAAAAAAAATATTCTGAATCTCAGAAGCCAGAACAGCAAGAGGGGATCGCTGTGCAGTGAAAGCAGCAATCCCTCTTGCTGTTCTGGCTTCTGTGATAGCTGCGCAGCCTGCACTCGCTCCATAAGACGCACACACATTTCCCCTTACTTTTTAGGAGGGAAAAAGCGAGTCTTATAGAGCCAAAAATATGGTAAGTGCTTCCGTTTTCAAACGCACCTTGGAAGTTGAACGGCTTCCGCTGTGTGCATGTTATTTTTTTCAGTTTTCTGCAGACCGCCCTTTGCGCCTTGGTTTTCAAACGTTTTGGAAGTCAAACGGTCTTCCGGAATGGATTACGTTCGAGAACTGAGGTACCACTGTATTTTTTTGTCTGTCGGTGAAAAGCCACGTGTGAGTTTCCTCCTAGCAGTAAGACTCAAAGGTTAAGTGCCCTTGGCAATACAGTCTGAAGGCACAAGACACAGGTGACAACTCTGTTAAAACAGATCAGGTTAAGGGTCTGAGCAGCCCTGGCAAAGAAACCTTCCACACATCACCACGAGGTTTACCACGGGAGGAATCGGGTCATAAATTAAATCTACTATGTATTTTGGAAAGCTGCTACAGTGGTGCCTCGCAAGACGAAATTAATCCGTTCCGCGAGTCTCTTTGTCTTGCGGTTTTTTCGTCTTGCGAAGCACGGCTATTAGCGGCTTAGCGGCTATTAACGGCTTAGCGGTTTAGCAGCTTTAAGAAAAAGGAAACAAACTCACAAGACGTTTCGTTTTGCGAAGCAAGCCCATAGGGAAATTCGTCTTGCGGAACGACTAAAAAAATGGAAAACCCTTTCGTCTAGCGAGTTTTTCGTCTTGCGAGGCATTCGTCTTGCGGGGCACCACTGTAATTTGTTAAGCATTTGGACGCCTGTGAAGATACTGTAACAAAACATTGATTTCTGTGAAGGAGCAAGTTTTTGCCTCTGTCGGGATACAATCGGATGCCATTTTGAATCAAGACAGCCGGCTGAACCTTCCAGAAGTGCCCTGATTTCAGCCACATTTTGCAGGATCGTTCCTGAAATCAAGGGGCAGATTTTTGTCCACGTTAAGATACAACTGAGCGCAATTTTGAATCAAGGTGGCAGGTGGAACCTTTCAAACCTGCTCTGATTTTTACCACCGATTTAAATCTTGTACTGATTTTTTTCTGTTTCCCAGAATGCCCCAAAACGCCATGTGTGAGGCTGCTGGTGTGATATAGATTTAACCACGCTAATGATTTTGCTAGGACTTTTGCACCTGTACCTCCCCACAAGAGTGTGCTAAAGGACTGGGCGCAATTTTGAATCAAAGTGGCAGGTGGAAGTCCTAAAAATCTGCTACAGCTGTGCAGGGGGAGGGTGGAAAAGAAAGGGAGCACATTTGAGGATAAATTGAGGGAAGCCTTGGTTCTGCAGTATCCGAAACCTCCAGCATCCCTGCCCCCTCGCAAAAAAGATGACAAGGAAACCACTGCCACATGAAATTTGGCTCTGGGGATTGTTTTTTGTTCTCTCCATTTCCATATTTTACTAATTTATTCAAGCGTTCTCACTAGAAACTTAAGGAGATAAAACAAGGCATAGTTTTCTTTTCAGGAAAAATAATAACCCCCACCTACTACAAATGAAAAACAAACTCAGGCGAACTCCCACGTTGCTGTCCACCTCCCCTAACACTAGACATTTTGCTACAGGGCAGGCTGCTCCCCCTTTCCCCCTCCAACGTGGGGGCCGCTTTTGCTTCCGATCTGTTAAGCAGCGCAATAAGCGGTCCGTGTGAACCCAGTCTGTCCATCGCCCGCTGCAGTGATGGGGTCCAGCTGCCGCAACAGGCAGGAGAACTTTTGATGCCGGCGCCAACGGCGGGGAGACCGTGGGTCGGAGCATAGGCTCCATAGGCACCACGCTGGCATCCGGACTCCAAGTCAAAAAAGCAGCAAGGCGAGAAAGAAATCTTAGCACCGAGTCCGTAACAAAACCCCGCGCTGGGAATCAACTCTGGGAGGCTGAATCCTCAAGCTCCTAAGATCCAAAGGATCCCCAGGAAAAAGACTGAGCACCCAAAAAAAAGACCGAGTGGAAGAGACCGGCATGTCCAAAGTGCTTCTCTCCCGGGTGAAGGGTGGCGGATGGAAGATTCACCCGTAGCTTCAGGCGCGGCTTAGCTCTCAGGAGTCTGCTCCCGAGTAGATCAGCTGAGTCGGGAAAGGCTCGGCCGGACCGTCCGTTTCCTCGTCGCCCCAGAAATAGGTGATGAGGTTGTCAGAATCCAAGATGGTGGCGGGCATACTGTTCGCTTTGACGGGGTTGAAGGGCACCCCGGGGTGCGCCTTGTGGTGGTGCCTGGCCAGGTGGCTCCGCTGGACGTAGCCCTTGTCGCAGTGGGGGCACATGTAGGGCCTCTCGGCCTGGTGCAGCATCTGGTGCCGGGTCAGCGTGGACTTGACGGCGAAGCTCTTCCCGCAGATCTCGCAGTGGTAGGGCTTCTCCACCATGTGGATCCTCTCGTGGCGGCAGAGCTTCGACATGGAGCAGAAGCCCTCGCCGCACATGACGCACCGGTACGGCCGCTCGCCCCGGTGCATGCGCAGGTGGCGGTTGAGGCTGCCGCTGTGCGCGAAGGCCTCGCCGCAGTCGGGGCACAGGTAGGGCCGCTCCTCCACCATGGGGGGCATGGGGTAGGGGAACGGGCCCGGGAACATGTAGGGGAAAGCCTCCTCCCACAGGTCGCCATTGTAGGGGCCATCCTCCTCCCGGTGGCTCCGCTGGTGGCGGGTGACGCTGGTACTGCGGGTGAAGCTCTGCCCGCAGTCTGGGCACTTGTAGGGCTTCTCCCCCGTGTGGGTCATCTGGTGGGTGAGGAGGTTCAGGTTGAGGCTGAAGCTGCGCCCGCAGTCGAGGCACGAGTAGGGCTTCTCCCCCGTGTGGGTCCGCCAATGGCGCGTCAGCGTCGACTTCCGGTTGAACACCCGCCCGCACTCGGTGCATGGGTACGCCCGCCCCCCAGGGTAGAACTGCTGCTGGAAGGACGCCTCAAAGGCGTCCCCCAGGCTGTCGATGGACATATCCCAGTCCTCCTTGGGGTAGTTCCCCGGGTACATGGCCGGCTTGAACGGGCTCTCCCACATTGGGTAATCCTCAGGGCCCTGGGAGAGGCTGGCTTCCTCGGGGTCGTCGAAGATGCTGAAGTGCAGCTCCACCTGCTGGTCGGAGGCCTCCTGCGCGGGGGCCTCGCCTTTGGTTTCTCTTTCCGGCCGGCCTTCAGCCGGGAGGAACAAAGGCTTTGCCGCCGCAGACGGCGGGCTGAGCTTCCTGCTCCAGGGGACGGGCCCATCCCACGGGCGCTCGGGGTAGCCGGCCTGCAGGGGCTCGTCCGGCCTAACCTCGCTGGCGCAGAGCTTCCCCTCAGATATGCCCCCTTCCGACTCCTCCAGGATGGTGAAATGAAGCTCCACCTGCTGCTCGGGGCCTTGCGGAGGGTAAGCCTCTGCCCGCCTCTCTCTGGCTCCCCGGTCAGGGTGCGGGAGGACCTCCTGGAGTTCTGGGGATGGGGAGCGCGACTGGTCAGAGTAAACAGAGTCATCGTCGAGCTCCGGCTGGCAGGAGTCAGCGGGCTGCAGCTCAGCATCGATCTCACAGTGCCAGAGCTTCCCCTGAGAAATGCCGCCTTCGGATTCTTCCAAGATGGTGAAGTGCAGTTCGACTTGGGGCCCAAAGTCCTCCTCCTCCTCTTCCTCTTCTTCCTCCTCCTGAAGAGTCTTTCCTTTCGGGTCCTTCATTGTTCCATCACCTGCTGGGATAAACAAGGAGAGTCCAGAAGTCAAGTCATATTCACAACTATACTTCCTGAAATCAGTGCTTCCCAAACTTGAGTTTCCAGCTGTTTTTGGATTACAATTCCCATCGCCCCTAGCTAGCAAGACCAGTGGTCAGGGATGATGGAAACGGTAGTTCGAAAAACAGCCCGAGACCCAACTTTGGGAAACACTGTTTTAGATGCTCAGGATAATCGGTGCTGTTTTGCTGAAAGACAACCCATTGCTGCGTGGCAGAGGAACCTCCAGATGTGGTCTTGTAGCTTCCAGATGTTACTAGACTGCAGCTCCCGGCATCCCCAACCATTGGCCATGCTGGCTAAGGGCTGATGGGAGTTGCGGAGGCCAACAACATCTGGGCTGCCACACACTCGCCATTCCTGGCTCATGGCGATGGATGTTCATGGCTCCAACGCTTTAACCAACGTGCCATCCTAGAGATCAGGGACCATACATGGTTCTCTCTAGATGTTAAGACTTTCAGCCAAAGCTAGAATAGCCAATGGTCAAAAAGATTTTTTATGTATGGAACAACAGCCGCCCGGATGTTACTAGCCCAGAGATGGAAAGGAGACAAGGTCCCTACCAGAGAGGAATGGCAAACTAAGCTGATGGACTAAGCCAAAATGGCCAAACTGACTGGAAAACTCAGAAACCAAGAGGACAAAAACTTTATAAAAGAATGGGGGAAAAATTAAAGTTATTTAGGAGACCACTGTAAGCAGATGGAAACATACCTGAAGGAGCGTCTCCACCCCCACCGTTCTGCCCGGACACTGAGGTCCAGTGCCGAGGGCCTTCTGGTGGTTCCCTCACTGCAAGAAGCCAAGTTACAGGGAACCCGGCAGAGGGCCTTCTTGGTAGTGGCACACACCCTGTGGAATGCCCTCCCACCAGATGTCAAAGAGAACAACAACTACCAGACTTTTAGAAGACATCTGAAGGCAGCTCTGTTTAGGGAAGCTTTTAATATCTGAAGGACTATTGTATTTTAATATTTTGTTGGAAGCCGCCCAGAGTGGTTGGGGAAACCCAGCCAGATGGGCGGGATATATATAATAAATTAGTATTATTATTGGCAGGATTTTGATTTCACTTGTAGTCTAACAAATACCATGGACAATACGGATTGATATAAAAGTTAGAGCATGGAAGAATATGCAGTTGTAAATATTCAAAATGGGACCCCATGGAGGGGATGGGGGGATGTTGCGAGATTCAGAGGGATCTCTGTATATGGATTTATATTTGGATTTTTAGAACCTTGTATTTGTAAAATCAAATAAAAATGATTTCAGAAAAAGAGAGGAACAGCCAATGGCCAGGGATGACGAGAGAAACATCTGGGGGAAACCCTATCAGCCACCCCTGCAATAGATGTTGCCGGACTACAACTCCCATCATTCCCAACCGTTGGCCATGCCAACTGGGGATGATGGAATTTGGAGTCCAATACCTTTCCTGCTGTCATCATGTGGCATCTGATTATGGAGGACACATGCATGTTGAGAGGCCAGCAAGATGAGCGATAAAAGTCTCAAAATCTGTGATCTCCCCCAATGTCTGGCCCATGAGAACATCTATAGTAGTAGTAATAATAATAATAATAATAATAATAATAATAATAATTTATTTATACCCCGCCCATCTGGCTGGGTTTCCCCAGCCACTCTGGGCGGCTTCCAACAGAATATTAAAATACAATAGTCTATTAAACATTAAAAGCTTCCCTAAACAGGGCTGCCGTCAGGTGTCTTCTAAAAGTCTGGTAGTTGTTTTTCTCTTTGACATCTGGTGGGAGGGCGTTCCACAGGGCGGGTGCCACTACCGAGAAGGCCCTCTGCCTGGTTCCCTGTAACGTGGCTTCTCACAGCGAGGGAATATGGGTATTTAGAAGACTTTGAGCCTCTAACACAAAGTGGCAAAAAACACACACGTGCTAATTTATATTTAAATATGCAAATGTAGGCTGACTTTCAGATTGGGGTAGGAAGAGACCTCCCTGGCACTCGCTGTCAGGGCTTAATTTGCCTGATGAAGAGGGCAGGTGGCTGGGGTGTCTTTGGAATGGAACTCTGCAGCGTACAGAGCCCACTGTAAGCAAAGACGGAACATAAGAAGCTGTCCTATACTGAGTCAGCCCATTGCTCCATCTAGCTAGCGCTGCCTACACTGGCTGGCAGCAGCTGCCCAAGGACTCAGGCTAGGCAGACTCCCAAACCTACCTAGATTGAACCTGGGACTTTTTGCATGCGAGGAAGTCACAAAATCAAGGCCCGGTTTGTGTAGATGCAGATTTGGTCGTGCAACAGACACAGTGTGAGTTCAAAAAGTTCCAGGAAAGGAACCCCTGATATTGTGGGGAGCAGCGCAATGGAGATATCAGCTGGCATGCATCAGCAGCGTGAAAAGAAAGGAAAGCCTTAAGAAGAGGCTGCAGAAGAAGCTGGCAGCGTCATATTGCGGGGAAATGTTTGAAACGGTACACTGGGCAAAACGAACCCTTGGTCTTGATCCTGCAGGGCTCTCCTGTTGGCAGCCAACCTGCATTATGCAGAATAGAATGAAAAATAGGATACCCCTTTTGGAGTTTGCTGCTGGTGGCGCTGTGGTCTAAATCACAGAGCCTAGGGCTTGCTGATCAGAAGGATGGTGGTTCGAATCCCTCCCATTGCTCAGTCCCTGCTCCTGCAAACCCAGCAGTTCGAAAGCACGTCAAAGTGCAAGTAGATAAATAGGTACCACTCCAGCGGGAAGATAAACGGCATTTCCGTGCGCTGCTCTGGTTTGCCAGAAGAGGCTTAGTCATGCTGGCCACATGACCCGGAAGCTGTATGCCGGCTCCCTCGGCCAGTAAAGCGAGATGAGCGCCGCAACCCCAGAGTCGGCCATGACTGGACCTAATGGTCAGGGGTCCCTTTACCTTTACCTTACTCTTGCTGCACCAAGAAACCCCTGTGTGAAATCCTGGACAGCTACTGCCAGTCAGTGTAGGTGATATTACAGTGGTGCCCCGCAAGACGAATGCCTCGCAAGACGGAAAACCCGCTAGACGAAAGGGTTTTCCGTTTTTGAGTTGCTTCGCAAGACGAATTTCCCTATGGGCTTGCTTCGCAAGACGAAAATGTCTTGCGAGTCTTGCCATTTTTTTTCTCGCCCCCCCCCTTTTCTAAGCTGCTAAGCCGCTAATAGCCTTTTAGCAGCTCAGCCGCTCAGCCTTTAATAGCCGCTAAGCCGCTAATAGCGCTAATCCGCTAATGGGGTTGCTTCGCAAGACGAAAAAACCGCTAGACGAAGAGAATCGCGGAACGGATTCTTTTCGTCTTGCGAGGCACCACTGTACTGATTGATTGATTTTGATTGAATTTATTTAGTACCTTATACCTGGAGGTCTTGTGGCAAAAAAAGATCACAATATATAAAATCAAAATAAACACAATAACGCAATAATACCCCCCCCAATGGTCTGACTCGCTGTAAGGCGAGCTCCTGTATTACTGCAGCACAATTCTTGGACCGTGTGGGTCATTGCAAACGTATTTTCTCCCGCAGATGCATCTCAGTCTCACAACTGGGAAGGGGTTTTACTTTTGGACGCCACAGGCAAAAGGTAAGTCATGGGACGGACACACCCACAAAGCAAAATCCACATTGCGGATCTTATTCTTTTTGCAAACCGCTTTGTGAGGTTTCATGACGATCAATCGGTCTATCAATTTTGTGAAATAACAACAATTTAAAAGAAAACCACACCTTTACCGAGCTAGCGCACTCCCAGGTGACCACGCGGGGCAGACTCTTTAAGCAAGCAATGCTTTCTCGTGGTACCGATACCCAGAATAAATGGAAATACAGAAGGCAAAAGCAGAACTCACAAGCTTGTGATCCTAACCTACCAACACAATTGCACAAGTAAAAAGGAAAGCAACAGGAAAAACATGCACACAAACCGTCAATCGTATCCCCCTTTTTTTGTGGGGGGGAAAGCAAAGTTCCTGGTCTTGCAAGTGCTCTGCATCTCACGCCAACCCCAATTCACACCAAAGCACAAATACCCAATTCTGCATTGAAAAATAACCTTTGATTAAGCAGGTGTTGATCAGGGAGCCTGTTTCAGCCTGCCAATTAACTTTTCTGACGTAATTAGCTTGGCTTTATGCAACTGCGAGGGCTTTCGAGGGGGGAATCATCTAGCCTGGAGGGACTGCTCAAGTTACCCCACCCATGCCAACACCCACCCCATTAATACTCTCCTGTGCCCCCCCCCCCGCAATGCAGGTAGGTCTTTGGTCTACTAAGGTTCTTTGTGCAAACAACAAACAGAACCAAGAGTTGCATTTCTTAGAACAGCCTGCCCTGTATTTTAAACAATCTCTAGGCCTCATGATTATTGCACACATTTGAAAATGTGCACAGCCTGTTGCGTCTCCCTCTTTTGGGCCCCTAAGCCTCCCCACAGAAACCCGAAAGCCAAGGCAAATATTTTAAAAATGAAGACTGTGCAACACACCTCCTTGCTTGGCTGAATTAACGCTCAGGCCTCCTGCCTTCAAGAGTGAGGATGCTGACACACCCAACTATTTAAACTAACTCCAGGAAAGAAGCCTGGGAACTGTAGTTCTGCAAGGGGTGAACTGCAGTTCTCGGTATTCTTGGGGGAGGAAATGTGCTTTCAATGTACGCATGCCTTAGACCAGGCTTCCTCAAACTCCTGATGTTTTGAGACTACAATTCCCATCATTCCTGACCACCGGGCCTGCTAGCTAGGGATCATGGGAGTTGTAGTCCCAACCCCTTCTGGGGTGTCACCTCACCCAACTCTGTGCATCCCACCCAGGAAAAACTTGCATACTGCCTCTGATGGCGGAGGTGGAAAAAGCAATGTTTAATTTGAAGAACAGGTGCCTGTTGGAGTTTGCACCTTTCCTCTTCCCTCCAGGTCCCCTTTTCCTTTTGTGCCCTGACTTTTCAACTGCAAGACTGCAGGAAGGGGCTTTGCCTTGCGGATTGCACACAAGCTACTGGGGGAGCCTTTTGGGCTGAGGAGCGGGGATCCAAACGCCCTAAATAAATTAACAATGCAGATCATACGCAACCTTCGCACCCCAAAGCATGTGAAATCCCACCCTAGGGGGGAAAATGCTTTGCAAGGGGAGGGGGAAAGGAAGGTCCCTCGCTCATCCAGGGGCATGTCTCCTAAACACTCCCTTTTCACAGAAGAAGTGATGGGGAACCTCTGGCCCTCCAGATGTTGCGGAATGCCAACCCTCCACTGTCAGCCCTAATCGCCAGGGAGGTCGGAGAAGCTGCAGTAGCCTAACAGGAGGGTCCTTATCCCCGTTCCATCCAGTATATTATCCTTCGGATAAGAGACCCAGCCCCTTTTCCCCAGCCAGAAACACACGCAGACTGTGAAAACAGCACGATTAAGCGGAGGGAGGGGAATTTTTTCCTCCAAAAACGCGACTCCTCTCTTGGGATCCTGGACGACGTGGCTCCTTCCCCGCTTCTCTAGTGAATTGCACCTCCCTTGGGAACCGCGCCCCACACCCACCGCCCTATTCCCTTTCCCCCACCCCCGGGGGGGGTGTCGGACAAATGGCCATCACCCTCATTTCTCCATCCCTCCTCCCGGGGCGCAGGAGGGTAGGGGGCGGATGGGGCGTTTTGGGGCTGAATGGCTGCAGAAGAGAGCCTGGGCGGAGCCCCCTGGAGCCGCGCTTTGGCCGGAGGGAGTTCCCACCTCGGTCCGGCGAAGGGGGTTGGGTTTGGGGAGGAAAAAAAAAAAGGTAGGGGAAGGGATCGGGCGTCGCTTCGTCCGAGCAACGGCGGTGGCGGCAGCGGCTGATCGAGTTCCCGGTGCGAGGCTCGCTCCCGCTGATCCGGATGCAGCGAGCGCCTGATACAGGAAACTCATCCCGAGAAAGGCTGCGCGTAAAAGCGAAAAAAAAAGGACACACAAAGAGAAGAGGGAGAGAGAGAGAGACCAGGCTGCCGAGCCTTTTAAATTGGCCAGAGCCCTCTGGTGGCCGCGGAGCAAGAGCTCTGGGGGGGGAAGGAGACAAGGAAGGAATGAAATCACTCTTCCCGGCAAAAACACACACACACACAAACACACAAAGACATAAAACCTCACAGCCTTCGTGTTTTGACCAGGAAGGATGCTTGGAGAAAATATACGCAGCTTAGGGATGGGTCACGAGGGACAGTGTGGTGCAGTGGTTAGAGCAGCGGCTCTCAAAAGGACTTGGCAGGAGAGGATAGGGGATAGGCGGGAATATTCAAATGCAATAAAAGAAACATGTCAATATTGCAGTGCAGTGTATAGTATATCTAGGCTTGCCTGCTTAGGGAAGCTTTTAATGTTTAACAGACCATTGTATTTTAATATTTGTTGGAAGCCGCCCAGAGTGGCTGGGGAAACCTAGCCATATGGGCAGGGTATAAATAATAAATTATTATTATTATTAGTCAGGAAAATTCCTGGTGCCTGGGTGTAAAAACCACGTCAGAGGGTATTTTTGCCACATTGGATGTATGGCAACACGATGCGAAAATAATTGGAAATGGCTCCTAAAGCTTAAAATCACTGCTTTCGGCAGGTTGACAAGCACGACAATTTGGGTTTAGAAAGCGCAACAATTTTGCGGGTGTCAGGAGTTTTGCTTTTTGAAATATGGCAACTCTAGTACGGTATATCAAAAGAATTTGTTGCGTATATAACCATAAAGAGGACCCACACCTCTCTTCGAGAGTGTTAGCTATTTTTCTACAGTTCTCCATGACATATTGTTGTGAACGGGGATTTTCCACTCTTACAAATATGAAAACTCGGGGGGGGGGGGAGAAAGGTTTCTTCGTGTTGATGAGGAGATGAGAATTACGACCCAATATAAATGAGGTTACCTGGCAAAAGCAAGCTCACACCTCCCATTGAGTTTGTATACATACTTAAGGTAAATATGTATGAGGCTAGTTTATAATTGTATTTTGGGAATGAGTTGTGAACTTAGGTACCTGCGTTGTTTTATACGTTCTGAATGCCCCGTGATTATATTATGAAGTAGTTGTGTTCTGTGTTATAAATTAAGCCCTGGTAGAACTTGTTCTTTTTTGGTTTTCCAGTGTATTTCTTACAATAGAATTGTAAAGTTGGAAGGTGGGGGGGGGGTGTCAGACAAATTTGGTGTGGTGTGAGCAAATGTTTACAGTGGTACCTCGCAAGACAAAAAGCTTGCTAGACGAAAGGGTTTTGTTTTTGAGCTGCTTCACAAGACGATTTTCCCCATGGGCTTGCTTCGCAAGACGGAAACGTCTTGCAAGTTTGTTTCCTTTTTCTTAACACCGTTAATACAGTTGCGACTTGACTTCGAGGAGCAACTGATAGTGTGGTAGCCTTTTTTGAGGTTATTAAAGACTTTGGTGATTTTTGAAGCTTTTCCAAAACTTTCCCAACACCGTGCTTCGTAAGACGAAAAAGTCTCTTCATCTTGCGGTTTCGAAGCAAGCCGATTAGCGCTATTAGCGGCTTAGCGGATCAGCTGATAGATCAGCTGATAAGCGGCTTAGCGGATCAGCTGATAAGCGGCTTAGCGGCTTGGGAAAAAGGGGGGGGGAGGGAAAAAACCCTACAGGAACTTGCAAGACATTTTCGTCTTGCGAAGCAAGCCCATAGGAAATTCGTTTTGCGAAGCACCTCCAAAATGGAAAACCCTTTCGTCTAGCGGGTTTTCCGTCTTGCGAGGCATTCGTCTTGCGGGGCACCACTGTATTCTGTTGGAAGCCGCCCAGAGTGGCTGGGGAAACCCAGCCAGATGGGCGGGGTATAAATAATAAATTATTATTATATTAATATTATAATAAATATAAGTTACGCTCATTACAGCCAGAGCAGTAGTTGACTGAGTCTTGACTTTGCGCTTAAGCATCTGTTCCAGGCTTGTGTGTTCAAAATATTTATTTGTTTACAGTGTTTCAACTACCCTTCATCAAAAAAAGAAAGAACCCAGGGGATTTTATGCATCCCTCCAGTTAAAATAGCAACGTGCATGATAAAACAGTAAAATGCAAACTAAGAAGTCCTGCTATTAAAGAATACAAACCATTAAAAAAAATGCAACAGAAATCCTAATAAAAAAATAAACAGCACCCGTCTGGCTTAAAGAGGAGTGCTTTCAGGCCATGCCTGAAACTCAGTAAGGAAGGAGCCAACTGTGAGTGACAGCTCCATGGAAGGGCTAAGGTCCTCCCTGTGTTACTATCCTTTGAGCTATGTTCATCCGTGGGCTTGGGTGACGGGTCTCCTCTGCAGATCTGAAAGCACAATTATTGTAATTATGCGGCACTTGCTAGAGTGCTTCTCTGACCCTTTGGGACCAAAGCACAACAGCTGGCGTTGTTATGTGTTGCGATGGGAATGAGAGTGTGAGCACTGCGTGCTCTTCAGGGCTCTTTGCATGTGAGAGAAGGAAGTTTCATTGTTCGTGGCTGATAACAAGCCCCAGTTTCCTGCTTCTTCTGAATATGAGAAGCCGCCTGCCTCGGAGAGGAAAATAATCCCAAAGTCTAGAGGGCCCAGATCAGTGAACGGATGATGTTTCCCGTAGGTTGATGGGCAGCTTCCTTGACTTCTCCCCACCCCACCCCACACACACAAAAAGAAAGAAACTTAAGTGGAGATTGAAGGATGCTTAGCAATGATCAGAGGCAGGCACCTACGACCCTCCAGACATTTGCTGGACTGCAGCTCCCATCATCCCCGACTGCTGGCCATGCTGGCTGAGGCTGATGGGAGTTCAAGTCCAGGAACCTCTAGGAAGGCCCCCTTCCCCTATCTCAGGAAGGCCAGGCTCAGGCTGGCGGACTCTGATGAAAGTATTCATGCCCTCCACTCTGGTAGTGAAGAAAAGAGAGAGATCTGTGTTCCCTGGGCTGTTAGAATTCCTGCTCCACAATTGCAGTCATGGGATTCTTGTCTACCACATGACGGTATATGTTACGACTCCACAAAGTGGGAAGCCACGGAGACAGGCATGTGACACACAACCGTCATGCCTGTTCCTTTTAAGGTGGGACGGAACTATAGCCTAACACGGACAATTCTCATGAGCTCCACAACGAAAGGACACGGGGCCAAAGCTGCCCTCTGATATCAGGCAATCGTCTTGTGCTTCATCTGTTGGTGCCTCTTCAAATGGCACCTCCGGGTGTAGCTTTTGTCGCAGCAGGGACACTTGAAGGGCTTCTCGCTTTGGTGCAGCGCCTGGTGCCTGATCATCGAAAACTTCTCGGTGAACGTGTTGCTGCAGTCGGGGCAGCGGAAGGGTTTCTCGCCAGCTGCCCGGTTCTTCTGAACCCCCGGAGCTGGGACGGAGCGTTGCTTGCAAGCGCTGCATTGCTTTCTTTCGACCAAGCTCATCCCACCGCCAGGGCCACGAAGGGGCTTCTCCCCGCAGGGACTCTTCTGATGGGGCAGGGAGCCCAAGCAACCCAGATTCTGGTGTCTGGGAATGCTTGATCGGTGCAAGAAGCCCTTCCCGCAGTCGGGACACTTGAATGGTTTTTCTACCATGTCTCCTGCCGGGCTGGGAAGGCCCTGGAGGCCAAGTGGGCTGAAGAGTTTCTGCCGCTCACCTGTGAAGGTTTTCTGGTGTGCGGAAAGGCTGGCTGCGCAAAAACTAACAGGGGGTCTGCCGTTAAGGCCTTTGTGGGTCTGCTCAGGGGGGGCAGGGGGGTTTAGCTTCAGAGTGGGTTTGCCTCCCTCTCTGGGACCCAAGAAAGATCCCTCTCTGGGACAAGCTCCCTCACGAATCTGGAAAGACAACGGCTTGTCGATGAATTCCCTGGCATTGCCGCTGAGGCAAGAAGTCCCTTTCCTCTGATGGATGGTGGGTTCTTCAGCAGTGCTGTCGCAGCGATGCCCTCCCTTTCTCAGAAGCAGGTTTGGCCCAGCAACATCTCGGACATCGCTCCGCTCAGATCCCTGCGAAACGGTCGCTGCGGCAAAGCACATTGCAGTCGGCTGCCGGGAGCCTTCCTGCTGTAAACGTCCCACCCGTCCTTCCCCATTGGAATGATCTCTCGGCACCTCTGGAGGCTTGCCAGGGTTTTTTCCAGAGGAAATGGGCTCATCACTCCTCGCCTGAAGGCCGGTCCTGTGCTGGATCTCTGAAACGGGCGAAGGTTTCCCCTGGAGGACGCCTCCTTCCAATTTGGGCACAAAATTATACTGCAGTCGTACCAGCGGCACGGCAGCACTCTCCTGCTGCGGGGATTCGGGCTCCGAGGTCTGCAGTGTCCTGTTGTCTGCTTGGATAACAAGGAAATACAGGCATGAGTCAGCATGACCCAGTTCTGAAAAGAGAGCAAGAATCCAGCCTTGGGCATAAAGCATGCCAGAGGCAGATCTGCCTATTAAAACACAAAATGTCTAACAGTGGGGGAGCTGGATGAGGGATAGGAAAGCTGTGGCCCTCCAGAGGTTGTCAGACTGCAGCTCCCATGAGTCTCTTGGTCAATGACCAGGGATGATGGGAGTTGTAGTTCGGCAGCCTTTGTAGGGTCCTCCACCCCTAATGTAGTCCAGCCCTCTGCCCAGCTCAGGAATCTGAAACTATGGCATCCCTGTGACAGTCTCTGCTTAAATACCACCAGTGATGAAGGATCCATTATCATCTCCCATGCCAGCCTCTCTTCCACGGATGAACAGCTCTTCCCATTTTCGAGCCAAAATTTGCTTGCTGTCCATTTCCACCTATTAGTTCTAGACCCACCCTTTGGAGCCACTGAAAACAATTCTTTAGATCAGGGGTCAGC